CGAGAGGAAGTCACGACGGGGACAATAAGCGGTTTGAAAATTTAAACTATACGAAATGTTCGAGCGTCGCGTAGCTGGCATTAAACCGTGAAAACGTTGTCTCCCGAAGTTTCTGTAATATTTAAAGAGCAAGTCCGGGCTGAACTGAATCCGTGATATTTCACCGCGGGAGTTACATGATTTCCCGATGAAAACGGAACTTCTTCAAGAGGATTCTTCGGAACGGCCGTGCATTGTCGTTGAATTCGAATTTCTTCGATACTGCAGAAAATGGTTCGCCGGTTGAAGTTTTCTCTTGTTTCTCCAACTACTAACTACTTGAATTTTTCACCAGTGGTGACTGCACTTTGCAAATCTTATTCACGGTAATATTCTTTTGTTATAGTTTTAATATTCAGTAATTTTGTATTATCGAATTGAAGGGTGTAGAGACAGGGAAATTTAAGGATGTAATTTTGCAAAGGAGTTTAGATGTTTGATAATTTAGGGATTTGGAAATTTGGAAATTGAGGAGTTTGAGAATTCGGTCAGAATCTATTAAAGTTGGGAATTTGGTGATGTGCAAATTTTGTGGTGTAGAAGAGGGATATGTCAACTGAAAATTTAGGACTCGTGAAACTTGAAAATCTGCTAACACAATTTGCAAACATGGTAACTTTCAACTTCAGAAATACATATGAAGATTGAAATAATTCATAATTTTGATAATACGAATACATAGATAAAAAAAGGTGTAAAAATGAAAAATGCAGAACGCACCAGTACCCACTAATGCACCGAAGTAGCACATTCATGCAGGATGCCCTCGTGGGCACAATTTCCCATTACTGGGTTAAACGTAGAGTCGCTATTAAGACAACAGCGATCGTGGCTCTGGGTCGTTTTCCGACGTCATTACTTTCGGGTAATTACTCGTCGTTTCGCACGGTTCATCGACTTTTCGTCGCTGAAAGCGATAGCTAGGTGGCTGGATGATTTCTAGGGAGGATGGGCCACGGTCGTCGGCGTCGGTCGATCGCGCGACAATAGCAAACTTCGAGGTCGTCGCCTCGGATCAATCTATTAATACGGCACATTAGAAAATCAATTAAGCCGCAGTCCCGTTTAATCTCGTGTCCGAGGATTTGCCAGCGAACAGGCTTCGAGCAGGAAGAGGACTCTCGTCGCCCGAGAGCTGACGGTTCCCGGGGCAAAAAAAGGATGCACGAGAACGGGACTTAACCTCTCCCTTCCTTACTTTATCCCATACATTTTTACTATCCCGCAGGAGTAAGCACGCGCAAGCGTCGTTGGCTGGTAATGAAAATGGACGAAGAAAATCGCTCCGCTGTTTGAATTTTTGCAGGAAATGTTTGCATTAAGGAAAGAAGGAAATACGGTTACTAGTACCATGTTGGAATACATTTTACGGGACATTATTCTAATTTTATTGATAATTATTTCACTCTTCCAGTAGAAGTATTTAAGCTACCATACATTTTTTAATATTATTCAATTAAAGCATAAATGGTAATATATTTCATAACCAATTTGAAAAAGAAATTGCACAGAGGTTTCTAAATATTGTTCCTCAATGTTATTTTACGTGACACGGTGTAGGTAAATATGCAGTTCCATCAAAGAACGAATGAAATGTTTTCGCGACAACCGGTAGCTTGTTTCGTCAGACACAGAGCAGACAAGTGATCAATATTTATCAGCTGATTGATACGGGGACAAGTTTTTAATCGAGAAGTTTGATCGATAAAGTATAAGAGCACCGATCGAATATATCGACGGTATTCATGAGGATGAATTTCAATGAAACTGGTTACTACCACGAGCAACGCGACGGAGTTACAAGTTCAGTTCCCTTGTCGCTGTACGTGGTGCTCCTTACTTCCGATATCTCTCTGTCTACATCGTAGTACGCAAACTTGGAAGATCCAACGGACTGAGTGCATCATTACGGATTAATATCCTCTCGAGGAAGCACGTAACCTCCTGCTACCGTTCCTCGTTATCACCGTTGGTTACGTCAAACGAAATGTCACTCAAAGCTTTGCTCAGCCGTCTCGTAATTTCGCCGTCTCGGAGGTTGGTCACTTTTCGGGGGCCGAATTAAATGAAATCGATCTTGATTACGCCCCTTCTATCTTATTCAACGGTGGCTCGAGCCGTTCCACTTTCAAACTTGATTCACGATTTTTAAATATTCAAGACGAGTATCCGGCAAGATCCACAAGGTAACTGAAATTTTTCGATTAACTTTCTCGATGAACGATGCTCGTCCCAAAACTTGCGCCGTCTTACTCTCCGGGTCTCTTTATCTTTACCGTCATAAATTCCGGAGTTTCGTCGTAGGGAAATTTAAATTACAAAGAAACATAAAGCGTACAACGCGCGGCTATTTGTACGAGAGATCTGTTCCCGTGCTGCGATTCCATCCTCGTCCCGCTTCGCGCCCCCTTGAACGCTACCCTCTCGCGTTGTCCGTCCTCAACGTCGCGCACCGCCGTAAAATATTCAGCGGCGCCGAGTACCCCGGTTACGAGACCGGATATTCCCTACAGACAACGTGTAACCGGCGCTGGATTAACTATTAGACAAAATAAGCGCGTGCTTAGAGTATCAAGGGAACGGAATAACACAGGAATTTTGCATTGTTGGATTTATCACGGACCAAATCCGAGGCCCCTAATTATCAAAGTTTCGTTACCAAATACCCAAATTGCTGGAATTCTAAAGTTCCAACTCTCAAAGTCCCAGAGTTGTAAGAAGGAGACATATGTCTGGACATTTAAGGGACAGAGATAAGTATGTTGTGTGATTTCGCACCTTAACTTCGTGTGATTGACCACTAGATGTCGCTGCACAACGCCTTTCTCGCTGCTACTCTGGCTCGGAATTATACAAAGTCTCAAAGTTTTAAACTTCCCTGAACTACCGAAGTTCCCACAAAGTTTCAACGTGAAACTTTTAAAATTCCAAAATTTCCAAACGCCACGAAATTGTACAAGTATTCGCCAAATGTCTTAATTCGTTCCTGCACGAAACATCGCTATAATTCGTTGTCCTCGTAGTCTCCGTCGTTGAGTAGCTTTTCCTGGCACGGTCCCCGACGTCGCGATAGTTCCCCTACATACCCTACATTTCTGGAACCACAGAATCCGCTGACGCACGCGCATTAATTCGTCGCACACGCGTTACCAACAAACGAGTTCCGATGCATTCAAAATTTAATGACGAGGTCCCTACGAGTCGGACATGTTCCGGGGCCGAAGGAAGCGGACGAGTATCTCCGGCCGCGAACGAGCTCAAATATTTGTCGATGGCAAACGTTTACCCTTCGGTAGAGCGAAACCTAAGCTCTAAAGACATATCGCGCTCAAGGCTGCGCTATTATACGAGCAAACTTCTGCCCGGCCTGTTTGACGTTCCTCGACATTCCACGTCGCGATTCTCTTCTTAACCGGTTCGCCCGTCTCGAAGCTCATTAATCGCTCTTCTCGAACGACATCCAAACGATCGGACGGCGAAACGTTTCGACGTATCTGCAAACGGGATGGTCGAAAATTAAACTCAAGGGTAGTCGTTATCTTCTGCTATCACGCGAGTGCTACCTCAGGAAAAATAGTTGAAATTCCACTTGAGAAAAGGAATGGAAAATAAAATTTGTCTTATGTGGTCTGCTTTTGAAAATATATATAATTATACAATATTTGATTCTTTAATGACATTCTTTTATTTTATAAATTGTACTTCTGTCTTTTGGCTTATTATTTATGACAGAGTGACAATAGCAAACATATCAGTAAATGAGATCACATAATTCATGTTAGTGTACCAGTGTTTGATGACAGCAATTAAGGATTTGCACACGTGTAGTATACATGTAAAAAGTATATTGAAATTTGCAAAAAGTGGTAACAATTACGTGTGCGAATTTGTAAAGTTTGGAATCGAGATCCCGCGACACGACAGGTCGTATAGGTGGTCAGCAAAGTCAGCGTCTGTGCATGGTTGGCGGCATAACAGCAGAGGTCTCTGCACCCGCGGCCTTCGTTATCCCGTACGTACTTACCGTGCATTTCACGAGGATGCATTCCCGCAGGAGAGCAGCGCGTCTGCGCGAACGCACCGAGTTTCTTTTCGTCTCTGTCCCACCGGTTCTGTGTCGTTCCCCTTTCGTTCGTTTGGTACCCCTTTGCCCTCTCAACCCCCACCGCAAGGGCAGCCCGCCACGCGACCGAAGCCCCCACCAGGAGCGTGAGCGTGTGTCACGCTCCGGGTAGCTCGGTGCGTGCCTATTAGAAGGAGGGGGTAAGGGGCGCGTGTGCCTTACGCGAGACGAGTGGTGGGGGGTTGCTGAACGAGCGGTGGTGGGGATGCAAGTACGGTCGACCGAGAACTCGCCACTAGTTTCGTACCAACTCTCGCGCGAGTCGGATGTCGGTTAATATCCCGTGTAAGTTCGCCCCCGTCGTCGTTGGTTGTTCGATAAACAATCG